TCAACTAGAGTCACAATCAGAAGCTCTATTACTAAGGTAAACTACAAAGAAATAAGCATACAATTTTATGAAAGGACAAAGAGATAAACATAGTACGTAAAGTTATTAGCAACGCAAATTGATGTATAGAAGACAAGAGAAGATGTGTTGTTTGTGACTTTCTATTTATAGTGTACCATGGAATAAGATTTTACATACTCATATTCTATAATACTTGAAGTTATATTAAATACAAAATATTTTGGTTGAATATTAAACCCTTTTCCATCTTAGTATTAATATACAAAACTAATTTATTTTTTATTTTATTTCTCAAAATTCAAATTTTAAAAAGGATTTTATCTTTCCCATATTTTCTTATTACTTTTTAATTGTTCTTTGTTCTGGTAATTAATAGTAATTACATTTTAAAAATATAAAGGATTTCATATCAATTAAACACGAAATATCACATCTCTCCTGTTAGATGTATAATTCTTGTTCTGTCAAAATGTTTGTGTAGTGTATGTCGGATAGATTTTGTATAGGTTGTAAGTTGTATTCGACAGAGTTGAATACATCATATATTGCAGTCTGTCGAAATCATGTTTTGTGCTTTAGCATTTTTTTCTAATTGGGCCTCGATATTGTTTGACTATATAAAGGGTTGTTGAGTTTGTAAATATACACAGTGAGAAATATATCATATAACAAACTCTCAATTCTCTCTCTTCTCTTTTCTTCTTCTTCTTCTTTTCCATAAATCATCTTTCTTCAAACCCTTTGTTCCAAAAAATTGGTATCGGAGTCTGGTTGCGATTCAGAGAGAATCTAATGGCAAACAGAACAACAACATCAACACAGTTTGAAGTGAATCTACCGGTTTTCAAAGGTGAAAACTATCAGCGGTGGGTTGCGCAGATGAAGGTTATTTTCAGATTTCAAGATATTTTTGAAATCATGAATGATGGAGTATCATAACTAGAAGCAGATGTGATGAATGCCGAAATAACTGCACACAAAGATCAGAGGAAGAAATATGGTAAAGCACTTTTCTTGATTCACCAGTGTGTGGATTTTGATGTATTCGAGAAAATTATTGAAGAAGAAAGAGAAAAAGGAGCTTGGGAAAAGCTAAAAACCTTGTATGGTGGAGATGAGAAATAGAAGAAGGTGAAGTTGTAGAAACTAAGGAAGCAATATGAGATGCTTTAGATGAAAGAAGATGAATCAATCTCTGCATATTTCTCAAGAGTTGTGACGCTAACAAACCAGATGAAGGCATGCGGTGAATCAGTTACAGACCTGCAGAAGATAGAAAAGGAGTTGAGATCTTTAATTACAGATTTGGACTACATTACCATGACAATTGAAGAAGCCAAGAATCTTTCCGAGATGAAGTTGGAAGAACTTCAAGCTTCATTGGAGGCTCATGAAATGAGGTTGAAGCAGAGAAACTCAGAAAGAGAGAAGGTTATTGAACAAGCATTGCAATCAAGATTCAGCATGAAAGTTGGAAAATACATATATGGATGGCTCCTCATGTCTCGGCCATCTCTAGGTGGAAAATTTATAGATGATCATCTCGAAGATGAGCCAGTGCCCACGCAAATTCCTACGAATGTCACTGCTGGTGGTGACATTGTTAATGAGTATGATAGGAGAAGGTACTTCCTCTGGATGTTGAGCGGATTTGGTCGTGATAGCCCATCAATAGCATTCATACAGGTTCCGTCTTTCATATTTCCACCTTTTATCAAAACATTGAGTATAACGTTTGGTTTAAGTGTGGGGGAGGAACTCTATCGCTTTCCATTTATCTCTTTTTAGTTTGATTGATCCTTTTCTAAGTTTACTTCATGTTTTTAGAATTTTACTTGTTTTCGGTATTTGCTCGAGTCATAGCGTGTGTTGTCAAGTCTGTTTGCCTCTTTTCTGTTGTTATCGAATTTCCTCGTATTTTTAAAATTTTAGCCTCCAACAAAAATTTTCTTTTTGATTCATGGCACCATACTCTGAAAGTTTATAGGTTGTCTAGGCTTTGTTAGAGAGACTTGGGAAAGTTTCGATAAAATCGATACCGTTATGACACCCTAAACCCCTCATTATGTAATATCAATCTGGGTACCCATTATGTCAAGACCTTAGGCTCAATTTTTCAAAGTAGCTCTTAAGTAGTTTATATTAGCAGTCAACACCATCTTAAACATAAACTACGTAGGGAGTCGATGAATATAAGTGAATAATCCTGTTTTTAATAAATAAATGATTTAATTGAAAAATATCCTTCTAAGTTAGGTGACCCTCACCCGGTCATTTAGTCCAACGGTTGTTAAGCCTGTAAGGATTTAATAATAAGAATCCATTGTTGGTTGGCCCAGAGGTCACTGGTACTGAACTTGGTAGGGCGAGCTACGATTCGATTCCCCGCAACCACAGTTGGGAAAAATGGGTTGCACCACTTAAATACTAGAACCCCGTGCTAAAGAAAAGAAAAGGATCATAGTCGCTAACGATTTCCCCTACTATATGCGTGTACAGATAACAGGCTTAATGTGATTGGACTTGAATAAACAGAGTGAAATAACAATGAGAGATATAGGTTGAGTTATAATGGCATGATTCAAATTGGTTTGCATAAAGTGGTAGTCTTTGTACATTGTGTCGTTACGGTTTCCTTGGTATTTAATACTTGTACCTATCAAACTAACATTAGCCTAGAAGCCACGTATGATTAGGAGTCGTGTTGTGCCCTTGTTTCAAAGCTCTCTTATCATTTCTTTTATCGTGTTGGTCGATTGCTTGAGGGCAAGCAATGATTTAAGTGTGGGGGTATTTGATAACACGAAAATGTATAGTATATTTGGCTTGATTAACATAAATTATGTCTCTATTTTAATTAATTAAATTACTCTTTATTTGTATTATGCTGGTATTTTCTATGTTTTCGGGAATTTGATGTTTGCAAGGCATGTGCGAAGAAAGTCGATAAAAGTCAAGCTAATCAAGAACAATTATGCAATTGAGGGGTGTGTGGTAGAATAGGGTGCACTAAAGGCAAAAAGCCCAAGAAAAGAAGCACTGGCCCAATCCACTAAGGGAGTGTAACGACCGTTACACATTGGCCTATGGGAGTGTAACGACCGTTACACATTGGCCTAAGGGAGTGTAACGACCGTTACACATTGGCCTAAAGGAGTGTAACGACCGTTACACCCTGCCACGCAAGCCTTTCCTCAAAAGCAGGAGTGTAACGACCGTTACACCCCGTGACACAAGCCCTACCCCAAGTTCAGGAGTGTAACGACCGTTACACTGAGAGTTCTTCAATCTGTAGCGGCCGCTACGGAGGAAATTCCGGAGGAGAAGATTTCTCAACTCCCGCGCGTCTCCAAGGCTATAAATAGGGCCCTCTCTCGTCCATTTTAAGAGATATATTTTATTTTTCGTTCATAACTTTTTCTTAGAATATGAAAGTAATAGTTCTCCACATCGGAGGACTATTACCAAATTAGTTTTAGGATTTATTTCTACCATTTAATTTATGTATCAGATCTAAATTTGTCGGCTATTTGAATTCAAGATTTCTTTGTTTCCATTTTCTGCATTTACAGATACTGATGATGTCACACGCCTTATCTTTAGAGTCAAAATTTATTTAGCAAAAGGTACACACTAGACAAAGACCGTTAGAGTATTAAATTGTTCTATAAGATATCATATAACATTATCATCAAAACTTAAAGTCATATGCATAACCAAATCTTATTCTTACATAACTATGAGAAAAAACTCATTAGTTAAGGGAGGTGAAAGAGACCGGGTATAATGTGTCTTCCCAACTTGAGTATTAATTAACAAACATGGTAATGATGCAAAAGGATTTGAGAGTAAGTAAAGCATATGTGTTTCTACCGCATGCTTGTAGCTAATGAAGATTGGTAAAAGTTATACGTGTTTATTGATAAAATTAAATACATTATTTTCTACTTGATCAAGGATAAATTACATGATTTTATTTTATTTTTATTTTTATATATACTATTTGCAAGAGTCAATAGAGTGTTTTGTTTGAAACTCAAGACTCCTCTAGAATATAAGATATACATATTTTTGTTTGGAAAACATAGTTAAATCTTTTGTTACCTCTGTTGAGACTCTTATCAAGCCAATGTAGTTTTGTTGAAAGATATTACAAAAGATCATAATTATTGTTTTGATTGCTTTCAGCAGTTTTTATAGAGTGTGTTTGGTTAATGGTATAGTTGTGTGATATCATAACAAGGTCATTTATATATTTATTTTGTATGTTTATCAACACCAACCGAAATAGAGTGGTGCTTACTCTCTTACAATTTTGGTCGGTAGTGCACTCACAATATTATTATTATTATTATTATTATTATTATTATTATTATTATTATTATTATTATTATATAGCATTATAAGTTAGTGCTAAATTATATTCGTAACCAATCTAAACAACTAATAAAATCCAAATGTGAGATGAGCTTAAAAGAGAGAAATTAGTGCTAATTTTGCAAACAGGTTAAAAGAGAGAGAATAATGCTAAATTTGGATTCAGTAATAAGTGCAGCGTTTTGTGATCTTGGAAGCAAGCTTAAATCCCCTTAGTTTCAGGGGAGTGTATTACGAATGTAATATATTGAGTTAGTTATAAAAATAGGAAGTTAGTTATAACTGGAGGCTAAGAGTTAATTAGAAAAGTAATTATGCAAGAGATAGTGTGTTATCTGATAACAAGTAATCATACTAGTTGTAGTGACACAAGAAATTCATATATTTATAATTTGTAAGGTGCTGCTCGTGCTCGGACTAGTTGTAGTGACACCGGCTCTCCAAGCACTGATCCGGCAGCAAGTAGTGGGTCTTAAATACACACAAGTTAATACTCCCATGAAAACGACTCCGAGACCGACTCCCGTCACAGCAATGACCCATGTTGGAATAGACTTAGGAGAGTTCCGGTTGGTGTTGTTGGTCTCGTCAAAAACATCCTGTTATGGTGCAGAAGCAAAAGTACCTATTGAAAATAAAGTAAAACACATTTTCACTTGAAGCTATAACGGAATAAGAAAGAACAAAAAAAAAAGAAGAATTAGTTACCTGGAGGTGGAGGTGGGAGAGAAGCGAGAGCTACCGAAACAACCAAAAGCATGGCGACTATTGTGGAAAAACGATTTGCTGCCATGGCTGGAAACTGAGAGTATTGAAAACATTTCATTAACAGACCGCTAAACTGTAAATATAAAAAGCAATGCAAGTGCAACAGTAAATATAACGACAACGACAAGTTGATGATGATTTTTGGATGTCATGCCGTTGATGGATTTAATGCAAAAAACTTTGAATTTTAGCGACAGATACACAAGATTATAAACTACAATCTAAACAAGAAAAATATTCTTCAATTTTGCAAATCACTTACCAGACAACAAATTCTTAAAACTTTCTGATGAAGCGGTTTATAAGCTTTAGGGAAGAAAGGAGAAAGAGTGGCTCGAAATCTACTTGTAGTGTATTGATATGGAGATGATTGAGTTGTGTCATCTCATTTATATATTTGCAATCAATCTGAACAACTTATAAAATCCAAATGTGAGAATACCTTAAAACACAGAAATTATGGCTTAAAAGAGAAAGAGAAAGAGTAATGCGTGTGAACATATCTAGTTAAATGATATATAGAAGAAATTATATCATGTCGGGACTAGATGTTATAAATAATGGTACAATTTTGTGAGAGGACAAACAAAGAAGCGTAGTAAGTAAAGTTATTAGCAACGTACATTGACGTATAGAAGACAAGAGCAGATGTGTTGTTTGTGAATTACTATTTATAGTGTGCCATGGAATAAGATTTTACATACTCATATTCTATAATACTTGAAGTTATATTAAATACAAAATATTTTGCTTGAATATTAAACCCTTTTCCATCTTAGTATTAATATACAAAACTTTTTTATTTTTTATTTTCATTCTCAAAACTCAAATTTTAAAAAGTTTTTTATCTTTCCCATATTTTCTTATTACTTTTTAATCATTCTTTGTTTTGGTAATTAATAGTAATTACAGTTTAAATATATAAAGGATTTCATATCAATTAAATACGAAATATCACATCGTTCATGTTAGATGTATAATTCTTGTTCTGTCGAAATGTTTGTGTGGTGTATGTCGAATAGCTTTTGTATAGGTTGTAAGTTGTATTCGACGGAGTCGAATACATCAGATATTGCAGTCTGTCGAAATCATGTTTTGTGCTTTACCATTTTGTCTAATTGGGCCTGGACATTGTTTGCCTATATAAAATGCTGTTGAGTTTGTAAATATAAACAGTGAGAAATATATCATATAACAAACTCTCAATTTCTTCTATTCCATAAATCATCTTTCTTGAAACTCTTTGTATCAACAAATTCGTATCAGAGCCTGATTGCGATTTAGAGAGAATCTAATGACAAACGGAACAACAACATCAACACAGTTTCCAGCGAATCTACGGGTTTTCAAAGGTGAAAACTATCAGCGGTGGGTTGCGCAGATGAAGGTTATTTTCATATTTCAAGATATTGTTGAAATCTCGAATGATGGAGTATCAGAACTAGAAGCAGATGCGACGGATGCCCAGAAAACTGCACACAAAGATCAGAAGAAGAGTTATGACGCTAACAAACCAGATGAAGGCATGTCGTGAATCTTTTACGAATCTGTAGAAGATAGAAAAGGTGTTGAGATCTTTAATTGCAGATTTCGATTACATTGTTGTGACAATTGAAGAGACCAGGAATCTATCTGAGATGAAGTTTGAAGAACATCAAGCTTCATTGGAGGATCATTAAATGAGGTTGAAGCAGAGAAACTTAGAAAGAGAGAAGGTGACTGAACAGGCATTGCAATCAAGATTCAGCAATAAAGCTGGAAACGAGAAGTCGAAGCAGCGAAATAATCTTGCTAGTGATGAGAAGTCAACCAAGAATATTGATTCGATCAAGAAAGGTGTGGGCAACAAGTATTCTGGGAAGAAAGTTGAGACGAAAGAGGTGCAATGTTACAATTGTCAAGGTTTTGGTCACTATGCGAGGGCGAAACATAGTGATGAAGCTCAATATGCACAAGCTGGAGATGATAATTCACATGATGTGTTGTTGATGGTGAACACTAAGTCGAACACTGAGAAAAACAACATATGGTATCTGGATTCAAGATGCAGCAACCACGTGACTGGTAATAAAAATGGTTTACCAAGTTAGATGAGTAAGTCGAAAAGGTGATAAAGTTTGTAGATGGAAGGAACATCAAAATAGGTGATAAAGGAGATATTTCGATTGTCAAGAAGGATGGTCGAAAAACTTCTATCACTGAACTACTATATGTACCTTCTATTACAAGTAACTTGATAAGTGTAGATCAATTACTTGTAAAAGGATTCAATATGAAGCTGGAGAAAAATCAGATGAAGGTATACAGGGCTGATGAGAGGCTAATAATGAAATCACCATTGGCATAGAACAAAATGTTCAAAGTTGGACTCAACGCATCAGATCACAAATGTCTTGCTTCAACTACAGAAGAAGACAAAAACTGGCTATGGCATCGCAGGTCTGGACATCTAAACTTCAAAAGTTTATGCATGCTCAATCAGAAAAGGATGGTGTTTGGGTTGCCGTATGTAAAGGAACCAAAACAGATATGCGAGGAATGTTGCAAAGATAAATCGGCAAGGAAGGCGTTCAAACATGACATGCCCGTAAAATCAAAGCAAATATTGGAGCTGGTTCGTTCTGATGTGTATGGACCCTTTGAAGTGAAGTCAAATGGAGGTAACATGTATTTCCTTACTTTCATTGATGAATTCACAAAACATATATGGATTTACCTTATTTAAAGGAAGAGTGAGGTATTCACACAGTTCAAGAAGTTCGAGTTGTATGCTGAGAATTAGAGTGGCTGAAAATTGAAGAAGTTAAGAACTGATAGTGGTGGTGAATATACTTCTATTGAATGTGCTATATTTTGCAATGAGGAAGTTATAGATCATGAGGTTATTGCACCCTATATGCCTCAACATAATGGCACGATAGAGAGAAAGAATAGAATTATATTGAACATGACGAGAAGAATGTTGAAAGTTAAAGATATGCCTAAGAGATTTTCGGCTGAAGGAGCTACGACAATAATAAATATTCTAAATATATGCATAACAAAGAAGATGGTCGAAAAGACATCGCATGAGGCTTGGACAGGGTCGAAGCCAAATGTGAGTCATCTTAGAGTTTTTGGATCAATGTGCTTTAGACATATACCTGAATAATTGAAAAAGATACTGGATGATCAAAGTGAAGTCATGGTGCTCATAGGTTATCATTAAACTGGTGCATACAAGTTGTATTCTCCAAACAAAGATAAACTAGTGATCAGTCAAGATGTTCTTGTAGATGAAATCAAAGGGTGAGACTGGTGTCAAAGTTTAGTTCGACAAGAATCATACACAGTCACAAATGTGTTCGACGAAGATGAACAGAACAAAGCTTAGACAAGTCAAAATGAACAAGGAGATACTTTAACCAGTCAAAATGAAGAACCACCTGTGAAGAATGAAAGAAGGTCGACAAGAACAAGAACTGAGTCGACCAGGCTAACTGGATATGAAAGGTCTCTAGATCAAGCAGTCGATGCAGATGGTGACTTAATCGAAGAATCCATGATAATGGTTGAAGCATAACCAATTGACTTGGGCGAAGCCTTGAGCAATTAGAGTTTGTGTGAAGCCATGAATGAAAAACTTAGAGCTATTGAGAAGAACAATACCTAGGAAGGCTCTCTATGGTTTGAAGCAAGCTCCTAGAGCTTGGAATAAGAGGATAAATAGCTTTCTGATTAATGCAGGTTTCACAAAGTGTGTCTCTAAACATGGGGTGTATGTAAATGATATCAACAATGGCAGTCGAATCATTTGATGCCTCTATGTTGATGATTTAATAATTACAGGAGTAGACAAAGTTGAGATAATGAAGGTAAAGTCGAAATTAATGCAGAAATTTGAAATGTCTGACTTAGGGAATCTCTCATATTTCCTAGGGATGGAATTCAAAGACACTAGAGAAGGAGTTTTCTTGCATCAAACGGAGTATGCTGCGGATATTTTGAAGAGGTTTAAAATGAGAAACTGTAATGTAGTTGTCACTCCGTTAGAAACTGGATCAAAGTTGAAAAAGGAAATGTATGATGAGTTTGTAAGTTCTACCCTTTACAAATAAATCATTGGATCCTTGAGATATCTTTGCAATACTAGACAAGATATCTGCCAAAGTGTAGGATTGTTGAGTAGATTTATGGAGAAACCACAAGAATGTCATCTCATCGCAGTAAAAAGGGCGTTGGGATACATAAAGGGAACTATTGATCATGGTGTGTTGTTACTAAAGAAGTCGAAGAACAACACAGATGTCGAAGTTCATGGATACACTGAGTTATATTTCAGTGGAGATCAAGATGAAAAGAAATGTATTGCAGGCTATATTTTCATGATTGAAGGTGCTCCAATATCATAGAGTTCGAGGAAGCAAATCATTGTAGCTTTATCATCATGCGAAAAAGAATATGTGGCTGCATCATATGCTGCATCCAAGCAGCATGAATCAAAATTCTACTTAAAGAACTCAAGATAATGGAATCTAAGAAGATGAAGTTGTTTGTCGATAACAAGTCATCTATAAACCTAGAGAATCATGCAGTGTGTCATGGTCGAAGTAAGCACATAGAAAGAAGGTATCATTTTCTAAGGGATCAAGTCAACAAAGAGAAACTTGAGATAAATCATTGTAAGACAGAAGTGCAACTAGCCAACATTTTTACCAAACTTATGAAGAAAGTCAGGTTCGACGAGTTAATGAAAAGCATCGGGATGAGAAATATCAAGAACATGAATTAGGGGTTGTGTTAGATGTATAATTCTTGTTCTGTCAAAATGCTTATGCGGTGTATGTCGAATAGCTTTTGTATAGGTTGTTAGCTGTATTCGACAGAGTCGAATACAAAAGATATTGCAGTCTGTTGAAATCATGTTTTGGGCTTTAGCATTTTATCTAATTGGGCTTGGGCATTATTTGCCTATATAAAGGGCTGTTGAGTTTGTAAATATACACAGTGAGAAATATATTGTATAAAAAACTCTCAATTCTCTCTCTTTTATCTTCTTATTTTTCTTCTCTTTCATAAATCATCTTTCTTGAAAACCCTTTATTCCAACAGGTCATACATGTGATTGAAGTGAAAAATATAGAATATCTTTTCAATTATAATGCATATTCTAGATGAAAAAACTTTAATTTTGATGATGGCAACCCTCTATTAAGTGAAGTCTTTTATCATCAAGATAACTTAAGTGATCAAAGATGTTCTTTCATCATACATAACCCTATTTTTGAAAAGTTAATACAATATTCAAGAAAAAAATTTGGTTTCTCCTTTTAAAGCAACTCCCTCTAATGATGGGAATTGATAACACGCAAAATCATTGACTTATTTCACTCAATTCACATATGTTTTAGTGTTGATTTTAGATATTTTGTAGTGTTATGATGATATTTATGTCGTGTTTCATGAAATAATCAAATAATGACAAAGGCATGAGAAAATGGTGAAAACAAAGAAAAAAATTG